AAAACAAAAATTTAACCCTCTTTGAAGGAAGATGTTATCTAGAGCTGCTACAATTTTCCATCTTTAATGACCATCATCCAATAAAAAACCATAAGGTATACTAAAAGAGGGACCAAATCATTGAAAACAAAGGGGAAAAATAGAAAAAGATCCACAGGTGACTCATAACTCCACCGATCCTGGCCACTTTTCAACACAATCTATGAAAGCTAGAAGAGAATGGGAACATAATTTTAAAGTATTGAAAGAAAAGTCTCTGCCAACCAAGCATCCTATTCCCAGCAGGAATAGAGTTTAAAGACAGGGACTTTAAAATAGCTAGGACTAATATGTTCAAGAAAACATATATGTTTGTAATATATTCATGTCACCAAAGACCTAGAATCAGTTTTTTAACCCAAATGGAAATTCTGGAACCAAAAATTAGTGTGACAAAATTAATAATTTAATATATGAATTTAATAGGTTATCAGAACAAATGACTAGCGAACTAGAAAACAAGCCAGTAGAAAAAAAATTCCAACTTACACACAGAGGGAGAAAATGATGAAAATGTAGAAAAAGGCTTCAGAGATACATGCAACATGGAGGAAACCATCTTTAACTTTCCTGCAATTAGTGTTCCACAAGGAGAGGAGGGAGTGATTTTATATAAATACTGGCTGGGAATTTCCTACAACTAGTGAAAGACATCAAAACGCATATCCAACCTCATTCAAAAAGCACTAAAAACCTCAGGCAAGATAAATATAAGGAAAATCACACCTGGGAACATCATGATTATACTCCTAAAAATTGAAGAGCAACAGAAAATCTTTTATTTTTATTTTTATTTTTGAGACGGAGTCTCGCTCTGTCACCAGGTTGGAGTGCAGTGGCGCAATCTCGGCTCACTGCAACCTCCACCTCCGGGGTTCAAGCAGTTCTCCTGCCTCAGCCTCCTGAGTAGCTGGGACTACAGGCACGCGCCACCATGCCCAGCTAGTTTGTGTATTTTTAGTAGACACGGGGTTTCACCATGTTGGTCAGGATGGTCTCAATCTCTTGACCTCAGGATCAGCCCGCCTCAGCCTTCCAAAGTGCTGGGATTACAGGCGTGAGCCACCGCGCCCGGCCAAGAAACAGAAAATCTTAAAAGTAGCTAGAAAAAACATAATTACCTGACCTTCAAATGAGCAATAAGACTGCTAGCTAAGTTTTCTTTTCTCTTCTCTTCTCTTATCTTTTTTTTTTGAGATGGAGTCTTGCACTGTCTCCTGGGCTGGCGTGGTCTTGGCTCACTGCAACCTCCTCTGCCTGCCAAGTTCAAGCAATTCTCTCCTACCTCAGCCTCCTGAGTGGCTGGGACTACAGGTGCGTGGCACCATGCCTGGCTAATTTTTTTTTTTTTTTTTTTTTTTGTATTTTTAGTAGAGACAGGGTTTCACCATGCTGGCCAGGCTGGTCTCAAACTCCTGACCTCGTGATCCGCCCACCTCGGCCTCCCAAAGTGCTGGGATTACAGGTGTGAGCCACCAATCCCAGCCAGTTTTCAACATAATCTACGAAAGCTAGAAGACAATGGGAACGTAATTTTAAAGTATTGAAAGGAAAGTCTCTGCCAACCAAGCATTCTATTCCCAGAAGGAAAAAAAAAATCCATTAAACATCCCACATATCCCTGGAAATGAAACCTCTGTGAACTTGTTCTGCATATGGGGATTTGATGCCAGATTATTGCTGATGCTCCTTCTCAATATAGAACTATTTTTTAAAAGGGGGTTATAAACTTATGAAATGGGAACCACTTGTTGGAAAGGATTTGTTATATTTATGTTAACCATAGGTCCCTAGAATAGCACTGTCCAATAGAAATATAATGAAAACCACTAATGTAATAAACCACAGAGATAATTCAAAATTTTCTTGGAGCAACATTTTTTAAAAGTTAAAGAAATAGGTAAGGTTAATTTTTAAAATATATTTTATTTAATACAGTATATTGAACATTTCAACATGTAATCAGTATGAAAATTACTGAGATATTCCTACTTTTTTTGTACTAAGGCTTTGAAAGCCATGACATATCTCAATTTGTACTACTAGCATTTCAACTTCTCAGTTGTCTCATGTGGATATTGGCTACCATACTGGACAGCACAGTAAGGGATGCCAGAGATGTACTAGGCAGTGGTTCTCAACCCTGGCTGCCCATGAGTGACCTCAGTGAGGAGCTTTAAAGAATGCAGATGCCGGCCAGGCACGGTGGCTCACGCCTGTAATGCCAGCACTTTGGGAGGCTGAGGCAGGTGGATCACCTGAGGTCAGGAGTTTGAGACTAGCCTGACCAACATGGTGAAATCCCGTCTCTACTAAAAATACAAAAATTAGCCAGGTGTGGTGCCATGCGCCTGTAGTCCCAGCTACTTGAGAGGCTGAGAAAGGAGAATTGCTTGAACTTAGGAGGTGGAGGTTGCAGTGAGCCAAGATCGCGCCACTGCGCTCCAGCCTGGGTGACCGAGTGAGACTCCATCTTAAAAAAAAGAAGAATGCAGATGCTCATGCAGGGCTGCAATTAGGGTAAAGCAAGTGAGGCACTCTTCCTGAGCACAAAATTTAAGGAAACACAAACACACACATACACACAAAACCCTCATTAATAAAGGTAACCAATATTTTAGTGCAATATTTTAACAATCAACATTACTGCAAAAAATTCATATGAATAAAATATCAAAATTTTTAATGAAAACAGGACCAGATTACTGATTTTTTCCTTTGCCTTGGGCTCCAATATGACTCAGCATGGCCCTATGCCCATGGCCCACCCAAGACCAAATAAGTCAGTATTTCTGCAAGTAGGGCCCAGGCATTAGATGACTCTAATGTGCAGCCAGCGTTGGCAGCCACTGTTTAGTCCACTGTCTGTCCCAAAGCTCAGATTTCCTGATAAAGTGGGAAGTTGATGAGTGGTCATAATTCTGGCATGTGATTTCTTTTACCAAAGCCCCAGAATATAGTTTCCTTTTTTGAGCTTTCCAGTGAAGGGAAGTTCACAACTTCACAAGGCAGTCATTTCCACTATTGGACAACTCCAGGGTTACCTCTTATTTATTTGGAGAAAACTGTTACAAGATAATTAAAAAGAAAAAAAAAAAAAAAGGTAAAGCCATGCCTCTTATACAGATATAAAAATAAACACATGATAAAGATTTTATTTACAGAAAGAATTGCCAGGCACAGTGGCTCATGCCTGCAATCCCAGTACTTTGGGAGGATGAGGCTGGGAGGATCACTTGAGCCCAGGAGTTCGAGACCAGCCTAAGCAACAAGGCAAAACCCTATCTCTACTGAAAAACATACACAAAACTTAGCTGTGTGGTGGCACATGCCTGTGGTCCCCAGTACTCAGGAAGCTGAGGTGGGAGGATCACCTGAGCTTGGGGAGGTCGAGGCTGCAGTGAGCTGTGATTGAGTCACTGAACTCTAGCCTGGGTGAGAGTGAGACCCTGTCTCCAGAAAACAAAACAAACAAAAAGAGGGAACTAGGCAGATATTAAAACGGGTTCAAAAGAGAATCCCAAAACAGACATCTTTATAGCTCAGGAATATTGAAATTAGCAAATGGAGGCAAAATAGGTTTTTCCACAAGGGAGCAGGAAAGGGAAATCAACTCAGCCTTTACCAGACTGGACAGAATTTGCTTGTCTATCAGTTACCTACACTTTACAGAATTGTAAAATATCTCCCATAGAATCAATCTGATAAGGCAGCAGGGAGTGCTATAGACCAGCAATTCCCAACCTTTTCGGCACCAGGGACCGGTTTCATGGAAGATGATTTTTCCATGGACATGGAGGTGGGTAGAGGGAGTATGGTTTCAGAATGAAACTGTTCTACCTCAGATCATCAGGCATCAGTTAGATTCTCATAAGAAGCATGCAACCTAGATCCCTTGTTTGTACAGTTAACAATAGGTTTCCTGCTCCTATGAGAATCTAATGCCACCTCTGATCTGACAGGAGACGGAGCTCCGGTGGTAATATTTGCTTGCCTGCTGCTCACTTCCTGCTGTGTGGCCCGGTTCCTAACAAGCCACAGACCTATCTGAGACCAATCTGGTACCAGTCTGCAGCCCAGGGATTGAAGACCCCTGCTATAGACAACAGACAACATATAGTTTCCCATTGAAGTACAAATTTCTTTCCACAGAACAAATTGCTACTATATATATATATATAACTTTTTTTTGAGACAGAGTTTCACTCTCGTTGCCCAGGCTGGAGTGCAATGGCATGACCTCGGCTCACTGAAACCTCTGCCTCCCAGGTTCAAGTGATTCTCCTGCCTCAGCCTCTGAAGTAGCTGGGATTACAGGCGCCCACCACCATGCCCAGCTAATTTTTTGTATTTTTAGGAAAGACGGGGTTTCACCATGTTGGCCAGGCTGGTCTCGAACTCCTGTCCTCTTGATCCGCCTGCCTCGGCCTCCCAAAGTGCTCATCTGTCACCCAGGCTGGAGTGCAGTGGCGCGATCTCGGCTCACTGCAACCTCTGCCTCCCGGGTTCAAGCGATTCTCCCGCCTCAGCCTCCCAAAGTGCTGGGATTATAGGCGTGAGCCACTGTGCCCAGCCTACCCTGTATGTTTTTAACCTATCACTCTTAGAACAGTGGTTTTCAAATTTTGATGTACACAAGAATCATCCAAGAAGTGAGGTAAAAGACAGATTGCCTGCCAAGTCTTCTGAGCTTGGATGATGCCCATGAAAATGCCTTTTTAACAAGCACACTAGATGATTCTGATGCAGGTGTTTTGAGGATCATACTCAAAAAGCACTCTTCTAGGACATACTTACTCCAAATTGAGACAACCTTTTCAAATGTGTTCTCATAATATCTGAAGGTAACTCTAGATTTCAAATCAAATCAATCTTAGTAGTCTTTCTGTGCCAGTAACATTTTCTGTACTTTCTTTCTGAGATAATATACTATTTCTTTTCTCCCCATTGAAATTTTACAGGACAGGCAAGGAACTGTTTTTATATTATATGAGCACATGAAGAGACACAAGTTGGGAATGTTGTGAGTATGAAGTGTATCTGTGAGTTGAAACAAGCTAAGGAAATAGACAATCACGGCTAACAAGAATGATGCTTCTCATGCATTTTAATCAGCATGCTGATTTATTAGAAGTCTATCTTTATTTAGATCTTCAGGTATTTTATTTTGTTTTTTTTTTTTTTGAGACGGAGCCTTGCTCTGTTGCCTAGGCTGGAGTGCAGTGGCACAATCTTAGCTCACTGCAACCTCCACCTCCCGGGTTCGAGCGATTCTCCTGCCTCAGCCTCCCGAGTCGCTGGGATTACAGGCATGCACCACCATGCCCAGCTAATTTTTGTATTTTTAATAGAGATGGGGTTTCACTGTGTTGGCCAGGATGGTCTCGACCTCTTGACCTCGTGATGCGCCCGCCTTGGCCTCTCAAAGTGCTGGGATTACAGGCGTGAGCCACTGCGCCCGGCCTAAGTATTTTATAAAATGACTTTAGATGTGTCAATGGGGGTTTATAAATATAATTGATTAATTATCTGAAATTGATGGGTAAAGTTTAGACTTAACAACATATTATACCCAAATGCATACACAGATAAGGCACATCAGATCTCACTATGGGGACCCAGCTCAGTTGTCCTGAGTGTGGAAGGCAGTTGTCATTCTGGCATACTTAGAAAAGTGCTCTGTGCTCTAGTGACTTCACACGATGTCCCCACAACAGGCAGGATCTGTAGCTCCTCCTCAGATCCAGTTTCATCCCGGGCGCAATCTTCTCAAGGTACGCATATGCTGAGCACAGACTGCTGGCAACACCCGGAGGCTTCCGCATTTCTCCCAGATTTCCCTCTGGGATATTTTGGAGTCTAACAAAGTTGTCTCCTATCTGGGACTCAGAATTTTAGAGCCACAACCTTGAGTCATCTCTTATTTCGTATCTTGGCACATGGTTACTTGGTACCTTTAAGTCATCCTACCTAATTGGGAAACTGTCTCTGCCCTGTATTTCTCTTCCTTGTAACCTACAGCAGTGTAGACATTGTGGCCTCACACTGAAACACACAGAAACATATACACAAAGATCTGGTCTCATAAACACTAACCAAATAAGATCCAATTCCTCTACTAAGCATTAATGTTCCTATGTGGCCTCAGTCCTTCCCTCCCCAACCTCTGCTCCACCCTACTATGGTCAGTCTCCTGGAAACTGATCCAAAGAGGTACACACTACAACAAGCAAATGGCTGCATAGGACAGGCCTCAACTTCCCTATCCAAAGTATAGTCCTTTGTTCTGCCAAAGCATTGTCAGCTATAACAGACCATTATCAATACAGTGATATTCACCCTCATCGATCCTTTTGAACTTAGGCAAATGTTCTGGTTCCTTCCCCTTTGGAACTAGAATGTGGCTACAGTTTAATCTGGCACTTACAGTCTCAAATGCTTCCCATCACCTGGGAAGGGAAACTGGCTGTTTGAGTCCTCCCCTCGAGTTTCAATCTTTCCCCAAGATCCCATAAACATGCAAAACTTATTGGGTCTTGTTAAGAACGTCACTTCCCTAGGGAATCTTCACCCATTTGTCACACTGCCCTGATAGCAACAGAAATGAGACCTCAATCCATAACATCCCAACAAGCTTGCCTTCATCTTATCTACGCAGACCTTCACATCCAGAATGATAACAGAGCCTCTGGGCATGTGCAGAAAAGGATCAGCCCCTTGCTTCCCAGTGGATTTCTGCCCCTCAGCTCCCTCCCTGCCCTACCTTTCCCTACCAGAAAATTTGAAAGCATGTTATCTACTGTGCCAGGCACAGTTCTAGGTGCTGGGGAAACAGCAATGAGCCCTGCTCTCAGGAAGCTGCCACTGTAGAGGGGTGGGCATACAGTAAACAAGTAAACAGGTAAACGTGGTCTAGCATGTCAACTGCTGACAAGCCAGGAAAGGGGGACAGCAGTTCACTAGTAGCTGGAAGATCAGAGATTAAATACTTCCTATTTCACTCTCCCCAAATGACACAGTGATGTCAGAGCTGGGCAGAACACAGACCACCAGGAATTACTGGGACTAGGAGAACCAAGCAGTCATCTGGATTTGAAGTTGGCAAGCATGGGAATAAGAAATTTGTTTTTTCCCAAGTTATGAATCTAATTAAGCAGGAAACATTCAAGGTCCAAGTATATTTCTAAGCCCAGGAATTCAGACAGATGCGTTAGTTAGGTACAAAGAACTAGAAATCAGAACCTAGAGATATGAACTCTGTCTTACTGGGCACCAGCTGGCATGAAAGATTAACTGCAAAGGAGAAGCTGGGACAGGACTGGAACCAGACAAACCCTTCTGTACATAGGATGAGGCTGGGAGGGGTTAGCTCCCTTTGGGTGATGGGAGAAGAGCAACCAGACAGGCCAAACACAGGACCCAGGATTCAGGTGCCTGGAGGTCATCCTGAGAAGCAACCAGCTCATACCATCAGGAAAGTTCCAACCACAAAGAGTAAAGGGACAATCTGAGAGCTAGGTCGTGGGGAGCTTGACCAGAGGCACTCAGGAGGCCACTTTTGGAGACCCAGGCTGATAGGGGGTGGCAGGAGGAAAGCCTTTCAGCAGGCAGCAGAGCCCAGCAGAGGCTGACACTCAGGAGCAGGACTTGTGTCCTGGAATTAATGGGATGAGACAGGGGTAGCATCACCAAGGCAGAGGCAGAGTTCCTGAGGTATGGGCCACAGGAAGAGCAATGCAGGTGGGTACTCGGGCATAGAGGAACCAGGCAAGAGGAAAACCATCACAGAAAGTAGGAGCTAGAAGAAGAGCCTGTTCTATGAACAGAGAAACTCCCAGTCATCAAACTGACCTAGCAGCAAGGTGGATTTGATGCTGAAGCCTACAGAATTAATAATTAGACTGGTTACCAAAAGGAACTTGCCCAGCTGTCCCTACACCTGCACCTGAGATTTCAGGCAAGGATGCCTTGACCTGCAGGCTAGTTTCAATGGTAGAAATAGTCCTATTGGTGTACCTTCTAGATGGTTATTGCTATTCACGCATCCTTCAGGGAGGGCACAGCTGACATGGACCTCTCGAAAGCCTTTAGTCCTTTTCTATTGTTTTCTGCCCATCTTATTCTCATCCCTAACTGCAGTCATAGAACCAGAGAATGTTAGAACGCAGAAGGGCCTCAGAATTAACTGATCCTTATAGACAGGAAACTGAGACTTAGGGGCAATGATTTGCTTGGGTCACACAGTATGTGGTCTGTCTCCTGATCCTGAAGTGTTTTTTTCACTACACCACAAAGCCTACGCTGAGTGACCACCTTGTATAGGGAGCCCTATAATGCTACAGGATAGTTTGCAAGTTGTCTCTGAAATCTTAAAGTGGATGTTCAGCTTTATAAAGACGGCTGTTCATGAACAGGGCACATTCTCCTCTGACAATAGGCAGGACACTCATTAAGTGGTAGGAATCACTTGTACACATGAAATAGAAAATAAACCCCAGACAAAAGTCTCCAGAATACTGAGATGCAAATGTCTCCATAGACAAGGAAATCATTCAGCAGGGATCACACTTAGTGACATTCTCCTAAAGGAACTTAAACCATTTTTAAAATGAACTCGTACAACATCCTAGCTCAGTGGTAGACTTTTACTAGAAATGACCGACCCTATTGCTATATTTTGCTAAGTTGATTAATAAAAAATATTTATTAGGCAAATCCTTTTTGTTGACAAGTTAAAATGGAGTCTTATTTTTCATATCTCCCTGAAGATTGCCACCTTGTGAAATTGAAAATACTCATTAAATTCCATCACCAGACAGGCACAAATGAGAGGGCGATTGTTTTTAAGCATGTGAGGGGAATCGTTGGTAAACTCATTTGTTTGGATATCATTAACAGAACAATCGGCGAGGATCTCCAGGGGGTCCTCATGACCTTTGCTCGCAATCTCTTCATCATCCATCAAGAAATATCAGCACCTAATATGCAAGGCGAGACCAATTTTAAGGTGAGGTGTTAATTAACTAACGATTCTGGTTAATTTCTATACAAGGGCTGAAAATACCTCATGCTGTATTGTAAACAAGTGCTAAACCATCTTTTTTTTATTGTAAGCAGTACATATTTTACAGTGTGCAGGGTCAATACTGTAAGGTTCCCACTGAAGCCGTTAGTTAAATTTAATGGTTTGAAACTTTTTCTTTGAAATAGAGTTGACTTTTAACTTGCTGCCATTTTCAAACCCCAGCTCCTAAGATAGCAGAGCTTTCTTATGTTGGACGTGAGTCTGAAATGTCACAATGGAACCAAAACAGAGATTGTCACAACCAAAAACTGTGAATGTTATCTATCTATATTCCAGATAATACAAGGTCTGACTAGTGATTCCTGGGAAGCCCTAGTTTCTAGAGCCAGAGAAGTTCTAAGACCTGAGAAAGCAATGTGTGTTAGGGAGAAGCAGAAAATATAGCATGTATGTGGGCCATCTACCCCACCCGTTTCTCCAACGTGGGTTGGATTATTTCACTACTAACCTTCAGAAGCCTCCTTATGACTCTTAAAGATGTTGGTCCATCAAATCCAGTTGTATATAATTGACTAGAAGTCTCCAAACTCTAAACTACAGGAACAAGGTCTGTACGGGAGTTTCTGAAACACTGTCTGAACAGAGATGATCACGTGGTATTGAACAGCAAGGTATGAATCTGATTCCCAGCCTAGACCTTCATTAATTCAAAGGACACAATCAGAAACTGCATGTGGTTTTCCTCCTAAATGGAAAGTCCAACAAAACCTTAATAGAAATGTAATTTTAATACAAGCTAGGGCCTAACTCCTTTAGTAACAGTAACAATAACAACATGATTTTATGAGCTGGAAGAATGATCACTGCTTTCCCTACATGATTGAGAAGATTCAAGAAAAGATAGACCAAATGTTACATCAGTGTTCACTGGTCCTAAGGGATCTATGCTCATCATTTACTGTTGTTTTTTTTGTTTGTTTTTGTTTTTGTTTTTGTTTTTGTCAGAGATGGGATATCTCACTGTCTTGCCTAGGCTGGTCTCAAGCTCCTGAGCTCAAGGGATTGTCTGCCTTGGCCTCTCAAAGAGCTGGGATTACAGGCATGAGCCACCTTGCCCAGCCTATCATTTACATTTTAAGTTCCTGCTAGCTAGTAGCATCATCTTATCTGTTAGTGCCATGTGCAAAACTTGGAGCCTCTCTGCATTTGATCCATTCAGCCTGTCCAAATATAGCTAATAATCAGAATCAGATGGTTTAACCTCAAATGCATTCAGACTAAGTTGATTCTGAGCTTGTCTTGCTCTTGGCAGAGTCAACCGCCCTTGGTAAAATGAAAGCTATTTCTCTGCCCTTTCTCTGACTTTCAAAATCATCAAAAGTCAGATGTTCTCAGGTAGCTTTTAATTATGTCATGGTTTCTAGCCTTCTCATATGAATGATTGTTTTCTTGATTTTTACTCATGTTAGGTCTAAAGGCAAAAATTTTCAATCTCAGTAATATAGGTATAATAACAAAAACTTGAAGCAGTGAAATAGATTCATCTTTGCTAGTATTTTCTGTCTTCTACTTAGTGGCATTGTGGTAGGTATTTTCAGTTTTTAAACAAGGATTTACCAGGAAAGTAAAGGCTAAATAAAAATGGAAGGTGATGAGGTGATGCGGCTGGGCACAGTGGCTCATGCCTATAATTCCAGCACTTTGAAAAGCTGAGGTGGGCAGATCACTTGAACCCAGGAGTTCAAGACCAGCCTGGGCAACATGGTGAAACCCCATCTCTACAAAAATTACAAAAATTATCCAGGTGTGGTAGCTCATGCCTGTAGTCACAACTACTTGGGGGGCTGAGGTGGGAGAATCATTTGAGCCCAGGAGTTGAGGCTGCAGTGAGTCTGGGTGATGAGAGTAAGAATAAAAACAAAAGGAAGATGATGCAGAAAATGCATTTAACAAAATTTAACATTTTTTTCTGATAAAAACATTCAACTAAGTAAAAATAGAAGGTCACTTCCTCAACCTTAGAAGGACATCTACCAAAAAACCACAGCTGACATCATAGTTAATGTTGCAAAACCAAAAGCTTTCTTGCAAAGATTAGGAACAAGACAAGGGTGTCTGCTCTTGCCGCCTCTATTCATCATTGTACTGGAGGTTCTGGACAGGGAAATTAGGCAAGAAAAGGAAATAAAACGCACTGGGTGCAATGGCCCCACCTGTAATCCCACCACTTTGGGAGGCCAAGGTGGGAGGATTATTTGCACTCAGGAGTTTGAGACCAGCCTGGGCAACATAGCAAGACCTCATCTCTACTAAGAAGAAGGAGAGGGAGAAAAGAAGAAGAAATAAAAGTAAAAGTATCTCTATTTGCAAACGGAAAATTCTTGTAAATAGAAAATTCTATGAAGCAAGAGGATTCCTTGAACCCAGGAGTTTGAAACCAGCCTAGGCAACATAGGCAGACCCTATCTAAAAAATAAAAAATTAGCCAGGTGTGGTGGCACGCACCTGTGGTCGCAGCTACTCAGGAGGCTGAGATGGGAAGATGGCTTGAGTAGGGTAGGCTGAGGCTGCAGTGAGCCATGATCTGCACTCCAGCCTGGGTGACAGAGCAAGACCTAGTCAAAAAAAAAAAAAAAAGAAAGAAAGAAAGAAAGAAAAGAAAATCCTGAAGAACCCATCAACAAGTTTATAGGACATAAAATCAGTATACAAAAGACAATTGCATTTGTGTAATGGATAATGCAAAAATAATTTTTTAAAAATTCAAGTTAAAATAGCATCAAAAAGAATAAAATACTTAAGAATAACTTTTTTTCTTTTTTGAGACGGAGTCTCACTGTTGCCCAGGCTGGAGTGCAGTGATTTCGGCTCACTGCAACCTCTGCCTTCCAGGTTCAAGCAATTCTGCTGCCTCAGCCTCCTGAGTAGCTGGGATTACAGACACGCACCACCACGCCCAGCTAATTTTTATATTTTTATTAGAGACGGGGTTTCATGTTGGTGAGGCTGACCTCGAACTCCTGACCTCATGATCCGCCCGCTCAGCCTCCCAAAGTGCTGGAATTACAGGCGTGAACCACTGAGCCTGGCCAGGAATAAATTTAACAGAAGAAGTGCAAGATTTTTGCAATGAAAACTACAAGACATGGGTGAAAGAAATTAAAGAAGACCTAGATAAACAGAAAGATAGTCTGTATTCATCCAATAGAAGACAATACTGCTAAGATGCTGATATTCCCAAATTGATCTATAGATTCAATGTAATTCTTATCAAAATCCCAGCTGGCTTTTTTTGCAGAAATTAACCAGATGATCCTAAAATTAATGTGGAAACATAAGAGGCCCAGAATAACCAAAATAATATTAAAAAGAAGAACCAAGTTGGAGAACTTGCACTTCTCAATTTAAAAACTTACTACAAAGCTACAGTAATCAAGACAGTATGGTACTGGCATAAGAACAGAGATATAGATCAATGGCATAAAATTGAGTCAGAAATAAACCCATACATAATGGCCAATAATTTTTGGCAAGGGTGCTGAAACAATTCAATGGAGAACAAATAATTTTTAAATAAATGGCACATGCAAATATTAAGTGGGACCTCTACCTCACATCATATATAAAAATTAAGTTAAAATGGGCTGGGCGTGGTGGTTCATGCCTGTAATCCCAGCACTTTGGGAGGCCGAGGCAGGTGGATCACCTGAGGTCAAGAGTTCGAGACCAGCCTGGCCAACATGGTGAAACCCCGTCTCTACTAAAAATATAAAAATTAGCCAGGCATGGTGGCGTGCACCTGTAATCCCAGCTACTCAGGATGCTGAGGCAGGAGAATCACTTGAACTCAGGAGGCAAAGG